AATGCCCAAGCAATCCTCTTTATACAAGATCATGGCAGATGACACCCCCATCTGCCAAATGATAGTTACCCACATTCTGCTATTCCATAGTAGACTTGGCCAGCAGGCTTGATCTCTATGCAACACTTGACAAACAGTTCCACCCATTCAATAACTGGTATGGAACTGCCCATCATTAGCATGCATCTGGACCAGAATCAACCTAGGAACGCCCAGAACTGCTTCTCATAGACTAAACCTTGTTCAGCAACTGCACACATCCTCCTGGTCACATGCATTGAGTAGCCATGTGCCCACATTCAGTAGCCAGCCTTGCCTCACGAACCATCGTGCATGTTGGGTTCAACCCATGCCATGCAATACGAAGCTATGCACCCACATTGCCTCAATTGAGCCCACCACGTGTTGTCATGCTCAGTCGAGTGGTCTTATGTTGCCACAGTCCGCACCAATCTGTCAAACCACTTAGCCGCATCACCTTGATTCAATCTCTTGGCGTGCCTTGGTCCAAGGTGCCATCAAGACCGTCATTATGCACCCAAGTCAGTTAGGGGGTGACACTTGCCCACTACAAGCAAATCGACTTTGAGATTTTCCACTTCTCGACATATCACAACCTTGGGATCTCCTTCTTCTGTAACTACCACTGGAATTATCTGTGGCAGTAAAAATTTTTACTAGAAAAACACACTTACAAAGTTGGAGCCAATTTGAATCTTAGTAATTATTAGTTTTCTGATGAAAAATTCTGTATAAAACATTTTGTGCAACAGTGTCATTGCTAAATTAGCATCAGGCCATGAAAGGCAGTTCGAATCTTAGTTATTAGTTCTCTTGGAAATAATTTTGCATTGAGTCTTTGCAAAATTAACAACAAGCCATGACACCTATTGTTTGCGGTAGAAGCAGAAACATTGCATTTGTTGTGAAATTCCATAGGAAAGGATGAAGTGAACGGTAAACCGAAATCGTTAAACACGAGACAAGCAGAGATCAATGCATAACACTCGTATCAATATGTAAATAGGGGCATATACATGTTAATAACCAAGTTACTAAAACTAAAAGTTAGTTAGTTAAAGTCTGGTAATATTGTTAGTTATGATCTGTTAAGGTTTCTAATAATAAATGAAAGTGACAAGGTAGTTGCAGTCTATTGTATAAGTACATGAAAAGAAACAATTCAAAAATTGGCAAAGAATCACTCTTGAAATCAATGTGCAATTTCCTCTGCACTTCTATTTTACTCTGTTCCTGCAGTTTGTTCATTGTACCATCGCAAATGGCTTCAGCTTTATCTTCTGATTGATACTATTCCTCAATCTCCAATCTATTTGCTGTACAATTTTTGTAATCTAACTTCCATACAATTCGAGATCACGACCATATACAGAGTGTTGGGAAAATAGGCTTTCCCACAAGTGTAAATCAATGGAAGCAATATAAATAAAATAACAGAAAATAAATAAGCACACAAGATTTACGTGGTTCCCTCAAATAACTTGAGGTACATCCACGACGACCGGTAGGTCAGTTTCTTCCACTATCACCAAATCAGATTACAAAGTGGCCAAAAGGCATAAGCCTTACAAACACACCAAGGTGTAAATCACAAGAGGAAAATACCTCACAAAATAAGTGAACCAAATCTCCAAGAACAAACCGCAAGAAACCCAAATATCAAGTGAAGAAATGTTACCCACTTGAAGAACAAATTTGCAGATTTTTCTGGCACCAAAAAGGAGAAGAAGAAGACTGAATTTTTGTTGAACCAAAGACTGCCGAAAATATGTCTTCTTGCCTAACCAACCGAGAAGAGATGAACCAAAGAAAATGACAAAACTTATAGTCTTTGGTGGCTGCCAAATTCCTTTTAACTTGAAGACTCCAAACCAAGTCTTGGATAAGAGTCATACACGGGTAAGCCACCAAAAAATTAGCAAATTGATGAGTCCCACAAAGGAGGGAAACCCAACACAGAGCACTACAGAGACCAATCCTCCTTATTAGACATGGATACCTCAAGATCAATTCAATCCTTGCTGACATGAATCAATGGACCACTTTCTCCACCACTCTCTCACATCATTGGTCACAATATGGTTAGATCTGAAAATAAGTTTTTCTTCTCTCACTTCTGTTGAAATCAACATTACAAAGGTGGTCATTGATATCTTCTTTTTTATAAAGCAAAACGATCTCGATACTTGAATAATCCACATATAAAGACAGGTTCAGACACCACAACTACCTACGTGCAGAAAATTAACGAAACTCGTGATCAACTTGCAGGAGTTTCTATCATGATCCATGACAGAAGACATTCTCATTCACACCGAATGGCCCTGCTTCTGAAAACCTTCACATCCATTCAAATATGCATCCAACATGTATCAAGACTACATGTACTTTTTTGATCTGATTAAGTATACATTGACACATCACACCAGCTTTAAGTTTTTGTTTTCTGCCAACCACCATGATCTTTATATTACAAGAATCCCATTAACTCTCTTACACAATCGCGGAGGTAGTTCAACATCACAAGGCAGAGGAAGAGGAAGATTTGGGACTTGTAATTGAAGAATAACAAATTTTGGAAGATCCAACAATCACATATACGAATCATCACATGCTGCTACTCATAATCCGCCTTCAACTCATAATTTTCATCATCATGGAAGGAAAAGAAAATAGACCTATTACCATTGCCCAGTGTGGTTTTAACCAAAAGATATGGACCCCCTCCAAAACATGCCTTATTCAATTGACCTAATGACGTGACAGTGACATTATTTTTGTGACGATTAACTCTTGGACTCACTCATTGAAACTATATTACTTGATACATCATTATGTTTGGTCAATTTCTCAATTCCCAATAGCATCTCTCTCACTCACATAATTAAAGGATTGTTGGACATCTATATAATAAAGTAGTTAATTTTGTTTATTTTGAGTTTTTGGCGACTTAGATCGTTTGAAGATTATTGATCCAACAATCCTAATTAGACTTTCATTTCTTTTAAAACTCTAAGACTCTTATCTCTCATATAACTCTCTCTATTTCATACACCCAACTCTAAAATGTATATAACTCTCTCTCTTATAGACATTTTAAACACACACTCTCTCATCTCTCATACTTTCTCTCTCTCTATATATATATATAAAGAGAGAGAGAGACAGAATAAAAATCTAATTAGGATTTCGCAGCTCAAATCATTTGAAGATTATTGATCTGACGATTTTAATTGGACTTTCATTCATTTTAAAACTCTATGACTCTTATCTCTCATATAACTCTCTTTCTGTATCTCATGCACCTGACTCTTATATGTGTGTGTATATATATATATATATCATAGACATTTTAAACACACGCTCTCGCATCTCTCATACTATATATATATATATATATATATATATATATATATATATATATAGAGAGAGAGAGAGGGAGAGATAAAATGAAAGTCTAATTAAGATGGTCAAGACAAACAATGATATCTCATACTCTCTCTCTTAGGGCATCTCCAACCCTTACTTAAATTTAGACTCAAATTTAAATTTAAGTAAAAAAGTCTAAAAAACTTACTCCGACCCTTTACACAAACTTATACCAAATTAAAGAAAACTCATTTTGTTACCCAAATTAAGGGAGACTCAAATCCTTACTCAAATATTTAATGGTGAGATTTCACGATCTTTTAAAGATCTATTGGTCATCTTTACTCCCTTTTAAATTTGATTTTGCTCTCATTTAAATTTGGGTCTCTTCTTCTTTAAATTTGAGTTTGTCCATTGAAGTTATTTATATCAAATTAAGCTTTTTACTCAAATATTAATTTAAATTTGACTAAAAATTTGAACCATGATTGGAGATGCTCTTAGCATTTTTTTTTACGATCCTAATTGAACTTATTTCTTCAAAATATTTGTATGATTTTATAGATGAAAAAATATTTATAAGTTAAAAATAATTTCCCAGTTATACATTTAAAACCAAGTTAATTACCAATAAAAAATAACAAGTTATACAAATTGTAAAAAAAAAAAAAAAATTTAAAGCCAAGTTAATCACCAATAAAAATAACAATTGATACCAACTACACCCAAAAAACTAAAAAATTCAAAGTCAAACTAATTACCAATAAAAAAAAATAAGCAAAATCAATTGTACAAAAAAAAAATAATATTCAAAACCAACTATCGATTTTTTTTTGTTCATATTTTTTTAAATACTTGAGTAATGCAAAATAGACACTGAAACAACAAAAAAATCAGTTGAATCAATTTTTTTTAAAGTGGTGAAATTTTGATTTTGTTGATTTGGGTTAATTGCAATGTGAGAATATTTCTATAACATCTAAGAAGTCACAGCAGTAGAGAATTTAAATTAATTGTCCTTGCAGTTACAAGTAGATCCGTTAGACAATGTTAGTTTAGTTAAGTTTTTTTCAATTTTTTAAAAATTTGATTTGTAGTTCAATGCGAACTGAACAACTTAATTATTAGATTTAGTTAGAAGTTGAAAACATGAACACTCATCAGAAAAAAGAGTCACTATGAAGAAATGTATGATAGGATAATTTTGTAATGGTGTTAATTTAATTTCATATGAATTATCGGATTGTGTTAACCCCTTACACTTTTTTTATTTAAGACATTCTTAGATGTTCCATTTGACTGACAAATTTTTTGTGTTAAAGAGTGTCTACAGATCCAACATAAGAGTAGAAATAATAAGGCGGCCCAAAAAACTCCAACCGCTACTACACTGGGAGAGTCAGATGTAGGTAGCATGCGAGAAGCTATTTTCGCAACAATAGAAATAACAAATGAGCCAAAAAAACATTACTAACAGCAGGAGGAGTATCTATGCATATAAGATCAGAAATTGGGTCTTCATTAAGTTCATTGGAAAATAATTGGTCAAAATAGTCAGTGAAGAGTGATACGCCTCCAAACAATATGAAACGAACAATAAAGACAACAAATTAAAACATTAACAAGGCTTTTACCCCATGTCGACCGCAGATTTCCTTAGCTTTCTCGAACAATGAAGTGGCAACCAACCTTTGATTTTCTTGGAGATTTCTCATCTTTTCGTGGGCTGCAATACCACGTATAATAGGCAAAAAACTATCGAACAGTTTGAAACTCTTATGATTTTGCACATAAATACGGAGCAAACGTGCAACAAAAACAAAAACAACCAAACACACACACATGTATATATATAGAGAGAGATATATATATATACAAGCACCATCGAAAGGGTAAGCACTGATGCAGGAGTAATCAGATATGGGCTGAGCGGTGAAAATGACGAGCACTGAGTTGGCAATGGTGTCGTGAAGAGTTTGAAGGGTCCATTCCAAAGTGTACTGGCTACACTCGCTCTCGTCCATGGCTACCATCACCTTCTTCTTCTCACCCATACGCCTTCCTTCCGCCATTTTTGATCTGCTCTTCTCTCTTCCTCACTTCTCAAACGTTTATTTATTGAGATATAAACATGTATGTATGTATACAAAAGGTGGTAAGCTTGTCAAGTGTGTATGGTAATCTCAACCTTCTGTGTGCTGGAGTCTTCTGGGTTTGGACATTTGTAGGGTTTTAACCGACATTCATACTACTCATAGGACACTTAACAATTCACAAGCTCTTCACGTGGATAGTAGACAGAATCCATGAGTTTGACACGTCGGGGGCTAAGTTTAAGAGGCATACAGTCTGTCCTCCATCTCGTACTCGTGCATGCATGAATTAAGAAAGACTAACCTGTATTATTTGAAATTTAATTTGAAGTTGAGTCTCATCACATGCATATAAAATTTTCAAGTATAGTATAAATATTATTATATTATGTTATTTTACTTTTTTTTTTTTTTACGAAATACTTACAATCATCCATAAATTTTTAATATTAATATAAATTTTCTTTGTGATAATGCTTATTTGATAGACTTTTGCCTTTTTTCTTGGTGCAACGATTGATCAGCAATCCCAAATGGGATGGCATAAAATAAATCTTGATTTTCGTTTTCATTGTCATGGACTATAGGCTATTAGCTGATTTTCGTGTTCCTTCTGGATTCATCATAAGAAAAACGAAAATCAAGATTTGTCGTTTGATACCAGGCGTGCACCATATGACAGAGGTGTAGCACTAGGGTCTCGCATGACCTCAAAGTAGTGTTTTAAAAATCAGCTTAACCCGATGGGTTGATCCGGTGAACCGACTGTTAAACTGGGCTGATCTCCTTATTAGATCGTTTAAACTTAGAAACCAAACATAATTTGCTAAACCAGACGAGTTTTGAGGTCAACCCGATGGACTGGATGGTTTTAACGAGTTGACCGAACTTATTACAAATACTATAAATACCAGGTTTTGGAGATATTTGGGCATTTTTTGCCCTAATCGTTTTGCACCCAGCCCCCTGTTGGGAATTGAAAGCAAATTAGATCACCAAAAGAAACACAGAATTAAGTAAAACAGGGACAAAAAATCTGCTATGCTACCACACCAATTTCACTCAAGAAACACCTCTATATTTCATAAAAAATTATCACAATATCAAACAATACAAAGGTGATAACTTATCTGAAATTTTCCAGCAAAACATCCAAGAAATGAAAAAGAATAAAAATAGAGCTTCTGCTCATGTCGCATACCTGCTAGTTTTTTTCTTCCCAACAAAACACATTTTTTTTTTACTCTATCTCTCTTTGTTTTTTGAAGCAGCAACTCTTTGCCCTTTATATGCCTCTGTTTCCAATTGAAAGCCCTTGAATTTGGCGACTCCATGGCCAGCCGCCTCCAGACTTTTGTTGGTTCGGCTTTCAATGTAGCCATGCATGAACAAATCTCCGAAAGGCATGAACAGACCTTCCAAAATTCTAGACACTTCTAATGACTACCTCTTCAAAACATGTTTAAATTACCATCTAACAACATAACTTTTCAATATTACATCATAATCCCAAAAATAAAGTACAAAAACTACCCGTTAAAGAATTGAGTTTATAAAACTAACACCACCAACCACCAACCACCTCTTTTGTCTGCCTTTTGCACCTCTTCTACCCATCTCTCTCTTTCTCTCTCAGTGTAGCTGTCGAACACGAAACCCCTCTCTCTCAGTGTAACTGTTGTACTTGAAGCCTCGAATCGAAGGAATCATCCCTTTATCACCATTATATAATCGTCTCTCTAAATCCTCCACCACAATCAGTCGATTGATTGGAGATTATCTTCACTTGTTTTGCTTCTCACAGATCATTGCTTTGCTCCCTCAGCCCTCTCAACAAGTACATCTCTCGCTTTGCTATTTTAGTATTAACTGTATTGTAGACTAACTTAGTAAATTATTTGATAATACTTGATAATGCGTATGAAATTAAGGGCATTGCTTAGTTATTAATTCCAAAAATTACCCAATTGGGAATTGAGGGAGATGAAATTGGAGTTTTGATCTATTTGATTGAGAGTTGGGTGGAAGTGAAATCTTACTGGCTATTTGATTATGATTTTTTATTGAGTTATGATTTAATTATTACTGATTTATCTATTTTGGTTAATGAAGAATGGCTTACCAAATTCCAACAAGCAGTTGCTGAGTTTCTACCCCATGGGGTTTCAAACCATTCCCCTAGTGTGGTCAGGCTGGGAATCCCACAGGAAAAAAGACATTCTCCCTTCAAATTCCTCAACTATATTGCTAATAGAGATGACTTTCTATCTATTGTCGAGCATAATTGGAGGGTAAGTATTCATGGGTCTCACCAATACAAACTTTGTCATAATTGAAGAACCTTAAAGGTGCCCTTAAGTCCTTATGCAAAGAAAAGGGTTTTGCCATTGAATTATCTCTCTCCACCAAAGCTGTTCTCAAAGCCTGCCAACAGAATGTGGACAGTAATCCTAACAACCTACTGTTGAGGGACGAGGGTAAGAGGTTATTTGTTGATTATCTGTTTGCTGCAAAAGCTGAGGAGTCTATTTACAAGCAGAAGTCATGGGTTTTGTGGCTAAAAGAAGGTGACCAGAACACAAGCTTCTTCTTTAAGACCATGATCAGTAGAAGAAATAAGAAGATGATTGTTTCTATCAAAAGATCAGATGATTCTGTGGCCGTAGGTGAACAAGCAGTCCAGCATGAAGCCATTAACTACTTTAAGCAACTGTTGGGACCAAATCCAATGTTTCTTGAAACTAAAAGGATGAGCCCCTTAAACTCAGTCATTCAAAAGAATATCTCTAGCCAACAATCTGCAAAGATGGTCATGCCCTTCACTAGTGATGAAATTAAGAAAGCCTTCTTTTCAATGAATGACCATAAAGCTCCAAGGCTTGGTGGCCATAACCCTTATTTTTTTAGGAAAGTGTGACCTATTATACAGATTGATGTTGTTGAAGCTATGAAGGAGTTTTTTTCTAATGGCAAGTTATTGCAAGAGTTGAATGCCACTATCATTGCTTTGGTTCCAAAAGTGTCTAATCCTACGTCAATGAATGATTTCAAGCCCTTCTCATGTTGTAACACCATTTACAAAGCCATCTCGAAGTTGATTGCCTCTAGAATCAAAAGTGTGCTTCCAAGCCTTATTAATCGAAATCAATCTGCTTTTATTCCTAGAAGGATGATTAGTGACAACATCCTTATTGCCCAAGAATTACTGAGGAATTATCATAGAAGTAATGGTGCTCCTAGATGTGCTATTAAAGTTAACTTGAAGAAAGCTTTTTACTCTGTGAGCTGGTCTTTCTTGATGGATGCTCTTGAAGCCTTTGGGTTCCCATTAGAGTTTAGGATGTAGATTTGGCGGTGCATATCCACCCCTAAGTTCTCTATCAATGTGAATAGGGAGTTGGTTGGATTCTTCCCAAGTGCTAGGGGTTTAAGGCAAGGGGATCTTATCTCCCCTTATTTATTTGTAATTGCCATGGAAGTATTCTCTCTCCTTGTCCTCCACAAAATTAACTCAAGCAGGGGTTTTAAATATCACTAGAGATGCAAGAAAGTTAACCTCAACCATCTCTCTTTTGCTGACGATTTGTTACTTTTCTACCATGGTGACTTCTCTTCTACTAAGATTCTTAAGGATGTTCTAGATAACTTTCAGCTCCTTTCTGGATTACAGGTAAACCTTACCAAGAGCAATATTTACACATGTGATGAGATGAGGTAAAAGATCACATCATCCATCTAATTGGGGCCTCAGAAGGCCAACTCTCTGTGGAGTACTTGGAGTTACCTCTTATTACTTCTAGACTTAGATCTTAGCATTGCAATAAGCTCATTGTAAAAATTGAGAGGAGAATTAGATCTTGGACCAATAGATCTCTCTCCTATGCTGGGAGGCTTCTCCTTGTCAAATCTGTTCTATATAGTATTCAAACCTATTGGTCCTCTCATTTTAATCTTCCTCAACAAGTTATTGAAAGATTGGAGCAACTTATGAGAAGCTTTTTGTGGAAAGGTACATAATTGAGCAGTTTAGGGGCTAAAGTCTCTTGGGAGGATATCTGCAAACCTAAAGAAGAAGGTGGATTGGAAATTAGAAGCATCAAGGAGTGTAACATTGCCTTGATGACGAAGTACATTTGGAAACTCTTTTCTCACAAACAAAATTTGTGGGTGAAGTGGGTGCATGCTTACCACCTGAAGATGAGAAACTTCTGGGATGTAAAGGCCACTCAACCTAGCTCTTGGAATTGGCAGAATTTGTTGAAGTTAAGAGGGATTTTTAGGCCACTCATGGTCCACAAAATTGGTAATGATGAAGGTACTAAGCTTTGGTATGACAATTGGCACCCTCTTGGCTCCTTGATATCTGTTTACAATGCGGATTTTCTCCAAGACAGGGGACTGCCAAAAGAGTCTATTGTCAAAAGAATCATCGTCAATGGCCACCTTTTACCTCCCCTACCTCTCAAGTTATTACTAGCTCTATGCCCTCATATTTTCCCAATCCTTCCACTGTGGACTAGGTGAACTGGATTCTCTCTTCTAATTCAAATTTCTCCATTTCCTCAGCTTGGGAGCATATTAGATGGAGGAGTTCCCCTGTTCTATGGTTTAAGCTTGTTTGGTCTGGGAATGTAGTCCTTAGAATGAGCTTCATCCTTTGGTTAGCTGTAAGGTCCAGACTGAGTACCCTTGATAAAATTCAATCTTATGCTGCCCACTTGGGCACTAATTGTATCCTTTGCAGGGCTGCTGATGAGACTCACCTCCACTTGTTCTTTGAATGCACTTATTCATCAAGAGTTTGGAACAATATTATGCTTGTTTGTGGACTTGTCTGGAAACCCAAGCCATGGAATGATCTTATTGAATGGGTTGCTATCAATTGGAAGGGGAAATCAATGCAAAACTTGATGCATAGAATATGCTTGGCAGCTTCAGTCTACTATGTTTGGATGGAAAGAAATTCCAAAAGATTTAGAAGTCAATACAGAGACCCGAATACTCTGTGCCATCTAATCCAACAGGTTATTCGGTACAGAGTGTTGACTTTGAAATTCAAGGCCTCCACCAATAACATGCTTACAGGTCAGTTATGGAACCTTCCCTCTTCTTATTTCTATTAGCTCATGGGATGGTTTCCCTTTGCTGCTATCCATTTGGTGTTGTCCCTTGGTGTTGTCCTGTGGTGCTGCTCATAGTACGATAATGTGTTCTTTATGGCTTGTTTGGTTTTTTTTTTCATGGTTCTGGAATGGCTCATATGTTTTTTTGTTATGAATGGGATGTTGGCCACTTTCGTGGGGCTCAACGGCCTGGTGTGGGATGCTTTCGAAGCACTTCATTTGGACTGTCCAAATCAAAGGTCATTGCTTCAGTTCCTTTTGCTGGTGTTGACAAAGAGAGACTAGATATATTGATGTACTGTACTATAGGAATCCGCTACGATGTATATTCTGCAATCCTTAGACGAAGGGGTTTCAAAATTTGTATATTCTGAAGGGATGGCGTTTTCTCAAGAGTGAAGGGCCAGTGGATTGGGTTGAAGAACTTTCCCAAGTGTAGTTCATTTGCTAGATGCTACACATGTAGGTCACAACTTTCTGAGTTGTGGCTGTCTCTGTTTTTTTGAACACCATCTTTTCATTTGATGTTGTCCCTTGGTGCTGCCCCTTGGTGTTTACGGTACGTTATGATAATGGTGTTGTCCATCTTTCCATAAGGTGCTGCCCCTTGGTGCTTATGGTACGATAATGGTGATCCTGCTTGGCCAGTGCTCACAAAACACGTCTCTGTTTTACGTTTGGACTTTTGGTGAGGAATTTAATTGGAAGTTTAAGCCCAAGGCCTCCACTTCCTACTAAATTCTTTCTCTTGAACACTTCATATTTTTTGGTCCTACTTTGTTTCTGCTTGGCCAGTGTTCTTTATGACTTGGTTTGGGTTTTTCATGGTTCTGGAATGACCCATGTGTTTTTTGTAAGGGTCATTCCCTTTCTTGTTCTCTCTTTTTAATCTATTGAATTTTATTTTTCCGAAAAAAAAATATATTAAGCAAGCTATTTTTATAATTTTGTTGATTTTTTAGCATATTTATTATTATTATTTTTTTTTTATTATCTCACCAGAATGATCAATAACCCAACAATTGAACCACTAACCTACTCCTTTTCCCAAGTTGATGTTTGAACCGGATTTTAAAACTATGCCTCAAAATGATGGATAAAGATAGTTTTTTTTGCAGGACAAGTACATGGTACTTGTGGCCATCTTAATTTTTTTTGCTCGTTATTTTGAACTTTAACATAAGAGGGAGGGGTGAGGTTCGAATCCATGACCAAACGATCCAACGGTAGGCTACGGTGATCATAAAAATCAATTAATTTCGGCTTCCATTCACCACATAGTTGGGAACAAACCATGCTTCTCTCTGAGGCAACAGTACACAAGGACTCCAAATCAAGATCACTTATAAATTGAAAACCAACAAAAGATGGATGGCAACAGTAACTATGCTTCTTTTCTCTTCATTCAATAAAAAGCAAAAGTTCCAGTATGAAATTCTACACCTTATGCTTCAAGAGGCTCTTTTCAGATATATATATATATAACGAAAATCAAAATTTTTAAGGCCAAAACAAAGGATGAGCCAGAAAATAATTAAAAGTACATCAGTTCTTTGACGAAGTAATGTTTTTACCAAACTGCAACACCACAAGAATCAGTTGGATTCCCCATGCCGAAGGAACTGAACAAATTTAGATCTCACCTCTGGTGGAATACGGACAGGACGGTAGTTTTTGTCAAGCCAGACTGCTGTTGCTCTCGCCTCCAAAATGGGCTGGACAACCACATACATGGAGCGCCCAGGCATCAAGATGAGTGCTTATGAGAATTCGTTTTTTTTTTCCTCAGAAAATAGGGTAAGTATAAAGATGACAGAAAGAAACCTCTTGATTTGGTAGCTTGAAGATAAAATGTTCGAAGAATAGACGAGCAGCTGAAGAATCGGATAACCTCACCTTCACAACAAATCTTTCTCCACTCTGGTTGAATGGAGATAGCCATGAGAGCAGGTCAACACAGATTTTAACCAAAGAAATTAATCGTTTTTCTTGCAATTACTAAGGCAATGCATGCAGACATAGTGGCATATTTCTCCTCAGTGAATGAAACAAAAGGAATGCATATAATGTTGTGTTTCCAAGCTGTAGTTCTCCAAATTCTGATTCACAAACACTAAGATATGTGGAGAAAATACAGCACAAATTTGCTTCTTTTAACAAATTAGATTTCAGGAAGTTAATAAAAGAAAGTCTTTCCTCCCCAAGGCACACCTTCAGCTTCTACGAATAAAAGTTTCTGAATGTTACGGCTTTTTCATTGGGATCGATTCATTTTTTATGTTTTAAGTGTCCACAACAGTAAGACAGCTTTATGTTCACCAACCCATATCATTTTTAAGTCTATGGGCAATCAAAATCTATTTAAGTATTTTCCTAATATATTATCTTCATGCCAAGAAGTTGTAAATTCAAAATTTAAAGGAACTTCGTAATTAATGAGGTTTTTTGGAATAGCACTAAGCTTACTAGTTACAAATCTGATGATGAGAGGCATACCCTTAAAGGTGCAAGGAATTTGAGAGACAGCTCTGACAATGCTAATGCATCACCAGTACGAGCAACTGCATCAGCACTTATGCCAACCCTTTCCAAAAGTTCATGACGACCTGTTCAAAAGAACAAGGACGAGTTATAATTCTAATTCAGATGTGCTCCAGGGAAAAATGAAAAATTTCTTTCAGTAAGTTACAAATAATATTCAACTACATACAGAGTAAATGGATATCACCTTTATGTATTTTGTCATTCCCAACCCACACGTGCTTATTATCTCACATTATGACCACGTGACTTTAAGTCAATCCACATATTAGAACTTCAATAGGCATAATTACTCAGTGGGGGATCAAAATGGGTTAGTCTTGGGAGTTAGGGAATGACAGTAATAACCAGCAATCAGTCAAGCAGTTTGAAACAACAAAAGAAGAAAAGTGTAATTACTGAAAATAAACTCAACTCAACATGAAAAAGTTGATCCCTGATTAAAGGATAAATATCCTTTCTTTTAAATAACTCAAGTAATAATCATCCTCCAACAACTCGTCATAGTTCACACAAGGATTGCCAGGCATGCGTAAATATACTAACTTCAAGGCCCAATTGGGTATAATCCAAGCACTCAATGCTTTATCCATGATCCAACAAGTTCTGCTGTATCAACTCAATGAAAGAATCGACAATGGTCAGCATCCAAATGGTTAAGACATGTGCACAAGGGCACATGTGTAGTACTAATTAGGAAAATTTGGCAAGAGACCAATTTAACAAAGTGAATGAAGAAAACAAAGAGCCACTAGCAGATCATTGGGGATTCGGCCTTTAATAAATTCACAAAATAGAGTGCATATTTTGTATAAAGACATCAGCTCCTTAGATTTTTTGTTTAATTACCAAGCTATCCAAAATCCATGCATGCAAAAAAAAAATTAAACACCACTTAGAAGTATTTCTAGACATTGATCACTTAGAACTAAACAGAATAACAAGTGAAAAACACTGAAGTTTACTGAAAAATGTACATCTACATATGGATCAGTTAAAACAGTCTTACCATGTTGACAGTAACTCGCATAAACAGCATTGTTTACAACACCATACTGATCCAGTTCATAGTCGCGGACTTTGAGTTCAACCTCATGGAAACCACTCATTCTGCAAAGCAATGAAAGAAAAGTGGGCTTAATCACCCAATTTCTTCAATAGTATCAAAAGTATGCAGCGTGCACTTAACCATCTCAAATTTTAGAGGCCAAATTAACCTTGTGAATGCAAAGGAGAAACCCAGATGGTTTTGCTTACCCACTAGGTCAACAAATTTCATGATTTGTTTCCCAAAATGTTAGTGAAAAACCCACCTATTATCCCAATTTGTACAAATGATAGAAGATTCCACAAAGTAAACCTAAAGTATGAATCAGAAAGAAAAACCAATAAGCCAGGAACTAATGGAATTGACTAATTTAACAACAATAAAACCAAAACAACCCATGTATTTACCAGCTGAAAATATAACTTCACACATTAACTTATACAACCGAGGGAGAAGATAGGAGCCCCTAACTTACAACCTACTACAGATCAAAAGGAGGTCTCATTGCGTTTTTGCCATCCGATGAATTCATAAATGGATCCTAATTCAATACCCAGAAACTTAACCAAGAATTGTAAAACAAAAAACATTTGTTAATACCAAAAAATGAAACCAATGATAAATTCTAGTACCCTTTTCCACCTTTGAAGTCAAATGCAGTGGCACTAAAACTCCTAACTGGGGAAGGACGTGACCAGACACATGGCTGGGATAGATGCAGAAGATGGTGCAGCCGGCGGATGACCGGGAAATTCGGTGATGGACGGGGACGATTGAGCCACGTGGTGGTCCTGGTACACGAGGTTGGTGTGGTCACGGCCACCGGAGAGACGAAGGCATGTAGCATCGCTCCCTCTATATCTATCTCTCTCTTCGGGCAATTGGGGACTTTCAGAAGGTTTTGTTGTGGGTTTTTCGGTGGGTTTTTTTTTTTTTGGGGAGGGGGGGGGGGGGGGGG